GACCAAAAATATCTCCAAAATTCTAAACAAACATGAGATCCAAGTCCGATTCAGTACAGTGCATAAAATCCGTGATCTGATTCTATCTGAGAAGGATGTCGTTCCTGACTTACAGTATCCTGGAGTCTACAAACTGAGTTGCAGTTGTGGTGATTGCTACATTGGAGAAACGAAACGTCATGTTTCTGATCGTGTTCGCGAGCACAAGTCAGATCTGAAACATGGCGGAACTGATTCTTCGGCCGTTGCCGATCATTGCTACAACTCTTTGGGCTCTCATGAAATTGTCTTTTCCGAGACCAAGGTACTCTGCAAACCTCCTGGCTATCATCAAAGGTTTGTACACGAAGCCATACAAATATACAAATACAGACATAATTTCAACCGTGATGATGGTTACAAACTGAGTAATCATTGGAAAGATGTGATTAACCATGCAAAAAAGATTTAACTACACTTATTTGGACCATCTTATTTAACAGACAATTATTAAAGGTTACTGATAGACAGCCACTTCTCTTTTACCAGGTATAGTTTTTTTCCCCACACTTTTGTTAGGTAGGCTCGGCGTAGTCACAAACCGCACCTCTCCATAACAAAGGCTCAGTCTTTTGTTATGCAGTCTATTCTTAGTCTTAATCCTCACCTTACCATATTAACAAAAAGTGTATCGTACTTGGCCCTTCCCCTCTTCAACCATTATATATACGGAGTGGTATTTCTTGTGATCTCTCATTTACTTGATACAGCTGTCATGGCTGTGACAGTTCCACCTGAAAACGGAAGCTTGTGTTGCCTCCGAAACGTCGTGATTTTTATTTTCAATTTTATTTTTACTTTTTATTTACCTACGTGACTTTACCGAAAAAACCTAAGAATATGAATCCTTGCAGTCACGAAAGCTTTAAATCTAGAACTATCCCAGTGTGTTTATTTTTTCATGAATGAGTTGTAAATGCGTCTGTACTCTACCTAAATGAGAGTGTAACACACAACACAGAGTAGCTATGCGAGTGTGTTTATGTTTACTACGCAGACACAAGCAATGAGGTTGTCTATAACATGACACATCACACTATCTACTGTGTACAGCTCAGATACAGTACACGTGTATGTAATGTTGCCACATACCCTCACCATGTACTATAGCTGAGTTATAGACAGTGCATAGTGTGCTGTATAGTGTGATGTGTAATGCTGTTACATACCCTCACCATGTACTATAGCTGAGTTATAGACAGTGCCTAGTGTGTTGTATAGTGTGATGTGTCATTTTGTTACATACCCTCACCATGTGCTATAGCTGAGTTATACACAGTGTATAGTGTGCTGTATAGTGTGATGTGTAATGTTGTTACATACCCAAACCTCTCAACCCATTCGGGTTTACCCGTATTGTCGTACAGGGAAATTGAGTTAAAACATTTTGTTTGTCTATTTGTTTGTGTTTTTCCCTTGTGATGGGACTTTGTAGAATGAACGAGGAGGTTTATAAGGGACACGGGGTGACCGATCACATCTGGATTGGTCCGTAATAAAGTAGGGCACAGCTCTGCATACCCACACCATGTGCTGGAGCTGAGCTGTAAACAGTCAACGGCGAGGTTATTGTGAGAAAATGATGAAAAGTAAACTCCTTGCTTCTTTCGGTAAAGTCACGTAGATATATTTTTTATCGAAACAACCAAAGAGTATGGATTCCTGCATTCACGAAAGCTTCAAATCAAGAGTGATGTCGTCAAAATAGAAAGTCACATCGGTGATAAATCGCGCGTAGTGAATTGAAAGAGACATTGATGAGGCGTCAACCATTAATGTTGTATAACAACAACAGCAGCAGCAGCTGCTGTGCGTCAACGAGCTGCACCACCCGCACGCCGTTCGCCACAATGCGCTACAGACGCAGTCCATGGCGACACGGAGCCAAGGCGAAGTCGTCGCTACACTCCGACAACAAAGAAAGCGGTGGATAAAGCAAAGCACTTTGTGGCGATCACCCGAATGTCAACAAGACGCAGGGAACTACTAACTTTTATATTTATATATATATTGTAGATGTCTATAATGCAGGTTATTTGGGTTAGATGGTTACCCCAATAAAACTGTATAATGGCTATTGGTCGCGAAGGCTTTACGTGTTAAACTACTGTAGATGTGTTAACTTTCCTTTTTCTTGCGCTACTATCATGTTTGTGTACTGTTTGTTGTTGTAACGTTCTTATCCCGTGCTCCTACTGGACATTGGTTAAAAAGAGCTTTACAGGTCATCGGATTCCTCCTGCAGTATAAATATTCAGACTCTGATATACGTCAGTCCAAAGATGCCAAATTAACATCTGTGATAATAACAAATCGCGTTACCGGTATCTGCTTTGATCCACATTGCTCACCGTAGCTGTTGGGCTGTTCGGAATGTACCACTCACTCAGCGGGGAGAGGGGGGGGTAGCAACAATTTCCCATTAACTTTTACTTTAAAACATAACAAAGTCACAGCATTATAAATTCACTATAACTGTTATAGTACAACTATTAGCAAATTCCAATTTGAATCGCCGGAATATGGTAAACTTGTATTCGTAAAATTATCCATTTCCAATTACATAATAATTAAATTAGTATAATAACATAATAACATTATACTAATTTAATTATTATTACTTGACGCTCACGCCAGTTGGTTCAGGGCACGCGGTCGGCAACCTGCAGCTCCGTAGCGGCGTGCGGCTCTTTGAGGGACGGCTGCTTCGTGAGACGTTATTTATCAAGGACCACCACCACCACCACGGTCTGTCTTACGCACACCACGTTTTTACTTATCAAGGACCACCACCACCACGGTCTCTCGTACGCACACCACGTTTTTACTTATCAAGGACCACCACCACCAGCACCGTCTCATACCCACACTACGTTGCATTGCGGCTCTTGAAATAATGAGTTGGTTGGATTCCATTTTACTTACCGAATTGTAAAAAATAAGAAAAATGTCTCACCTTGTTGTTTTGGTTGGTGAACCCCTTGGTTTAGGGGAATCGTCTTTTTGAACCTTGAATACGAACTGACAGCTATGTGGTTTGCTGAGCAAAACGCACAGCCTCACCCGAGCGGGAATGTTTTTTTGTTTGTGTCGGGTGGTGGCGGGTTTAACGACACTTTTATATTCACGCGATCTAACGCAAAAACACGTTTTATGGATAATATTGGTCGCGATAGCCTACTTATAATTTTAAATCTTTAATAAAAAATTACACGGTGAGGTTTACAGTGGAAAAACACAGCCTCAGCCAATCGGGTGTAACCAGTCTATAGGACAAACCATCACTGTTTTCATGGTTAGCGTGCGGTTTTTGTAAAATATGTAAATTGCGACTCTTTAACCTTGACACTGTGTGTGTGTGAATGTGACGCCACGTCTACACAGGTGAGTGCGGGCTGCCGCGTGCAACATTCCAGGGCGCGTCTCGTGGTGTTTATAATTTAGCTGCAGGTGAAGTCGGTTCGTTTCCTTGTTCGTTGTCGCTGCTCCGTGATTTTTTTTACATCTCGCTGCCGTGGCTGGAAGATGTTAACTACCTCGCCTGGTATACAGGAGGTTGTCGGTTCGATCCCGACCCTGACGCCTGTACATGTACTTGGAGTTTGCTTGTCTCTCTCCCTGTAGTCGCGTGAATATTTGTCTCCGGGTTCTCCAATTTTTCCCGCCACACTTAGAAACATGCATTTAGAGTGTTTGGCTGAGAAAAATGTCCACGTAATAAGCCACGTCGTTAAGCTATCAATTGTGGCCAGGTCGCTTCTGAAAAGAGCTATAAATATCAGAGGGCCTTACCGGGTAAAATAAAAATAGGTTTTATAAAATCGTCCAAACTCAGCGATTCCAGGATGTAAAATCTTAACATGAACAATAGGTGATGAATATATATTGTTTAGGTTAAGAGGATTTAAATCCTTGAATTTTTTTACGCATAATAGGAAAATGGATAGTGAAAGTCATGAACCACGATGTTTATTTAGCCAGGGGCTGTTCGCTGTGGTAATGGTGAGGCCATCCACCCAGGTACCCAATCACTCATCCGCACGCCCTCCCGGCCACCCTCCCTCCCTACCTACCTCACCGCCTGCTCACCCACCCTTTCCGCCATCCTCCTGCCCATCTGTCTCCCCTCTCACCAAACAACCCCCCCTACTTACTCACTCAACCACCACCACCCACTCACTCGCACCTTCGATTAGCACGAATGGCTACGTACGCTGCGAAATAAGTACTGTATAACATACATACTCACACACTCACCCACACACCTACTCACCCAACCACTCACCCACACACTAAACCAATCACCCACCTACACCCTCACCCACACACCTTCGATTAGCACTGCTGATTAAGTATGGTGTAAAAGAAGTTCAACATACATACAACCACGGTGTCGTAGGAATAAAAATAAATTGACAGATGAACAGAGGATGCATGAAGCCAGTAGTTAAATATTAGTTGATAAAGGTGGAAGACGATTACAGACTGTGAAGCTTAAACAAACAGGCCTTGCAAGACAAAATTAATAAAGACACATATGGGAAAAAACTAGTTAACCATTACCATCAGAATGTTTGTACAAGGTGCGGTTCCACTGTGTGCAATGCACACAGCCTGACCCTAGCTGGTCAATCAGCCTGTGGGACAAACCATTATCGCTGTGTCCCGGGTTGCTGCTGCTGAGTTTTGTTTGTACAAATATATCAATTGAGACCCGTCAAAGCTATGTATGTATGTTGAATTTCTTCCACACCGTACATAGCCAACCTTGCTAATTGGAAGTGCAGGGGAACGACAACTAAACACAAAAAACATTTTAGCTAACACAGTGCGTGCTGTAACGCCACGTCTACACAGGTGAGCCCAGCCGCCGTGTGGAACATTCCAGGGCGTGTCTCGAGGTATTTATAACTTAACTGCGGGTCAAGTCAAGTTCATTTCCTTGTTCATCTCCACTGTATGAGCTGCTCACACAGTGTCTCCTGAACAGAACACACCTCGTCAATGGTAATCAACATCTCACGATATTATAAACATAAATTATTTTTGTTGAAATATATTCTCTGAGGCACAGTGAGAAATTACTTTGGGTGCATCCTTGGGTCATGGCGAGCGCAGCTCCCGCTGAGAACGTGGACCGTGAGTTGACCTGCTCCATCTGCCTGGACACGTTTGAATGCCCCTCCACGCTGAGCTGCGGCCACTCGTTCTGCCTCCATTGCCTGGAGGACGCCTGGAAGGAGACAGACTCCTACTGCTGCCCGCAGTGCCGCAAGACCTTCCCTCGACGACCCCAGCTGACCAGGAACGTGACGATCGCCAACCTCATAGAGCAGCTGCTCGTGACTGAGACCATGGCTGTTGCTGCTGCTGATAGTGTTGTTTTCTGTGATAACTGCCCAGAAGGAGAAACACTTGCAGTGAAAACCTGCCTCAAGTGTGACACATCCTTCTGCACGGAGCACCTCGCGCCTCACCTGGAGAAGAAGAAGTTTAACGATCACGTCCTGGTTTCACCAGATGTGAACCCTGAAGCACGCAAGTGCAAGAGGCACAACGAAGAGCTCAAGTTCTACTGCAAGCAGGACGTGAGCCTCGTGTGCACAGTCTGTGCCATCGCTGGAGAACATAAAGGGCATGATGTTGACACGCTGGAGGACGAGCATCAGACACGGAAGGTGAGGCCCGCATGCCGACAGTGAGAACCACTGAGGTGCAGAAAAAAAAACATGCATTGAGATTATTTGTCTGCTATACATTTTCACATGATAAGCCGCAATGTTGAGTTATTATTTGTGGCCAGCTCGCTTCTAAAAAAATAAATTAAAACCTGGGTGGGATTTGCCTGGTAGGATGGGGATGACTTAGTTGTATGTGTATGTTATTGGGTGATTTGTTTACCTTTCTTGTACTCTGCACTACTATCTGGTATTTGTATAGTTTGTTGTTGTAACGTTCTTACCCACCCGTACTGGACATCTGTGAAAAATATCTTTATAGCTCATCTGATTCCTCCAATATAAATACATATACTTATTCTGATACCTCTACATGAACTGATAAAAATTGTCACCCGGGAATAATAAAAAAACATCTCATACAACGAACATTATCGTGGGTTGATTCTCTCTCCACGGTCCCTTGTCGTTTAGCCTTTTTGAGTCAGTCCAGGCTGACTTCCTCACCACTCCTCTGATGGCAATTATAGAGCCATCACTGTAGAGGGCTCCGTGTGGAGTGGGGCTGAGAGGGGACGCCAAGGGAGTGGAGTCTCATCTGGTGACTTCGTCTCTTACAGAGTGGAGTCGGAGAGGAGATGCGAGCGGTGGAGGAGAAGAGGAAGAAGGCGGAGGCGTCCGTGGGACGGATGGAGGCCGCTCGCAAGGACGTGCAGGTAGCTCTGTGAATCCGTGACCTTTACCCTGCTTGGAGTCTCCCTGTGAGTGTCTGTGGAGTTGACATCACTGTGAGGCCCACTCCGTAGACTCAAGTGAACTGTTAGTCTTGGGTCAGTGTGTAATAACTGTGCAGGATATTGAATTATTATGGAAATGCGTGCTTGAACTGTAAACAAATGCAACTTTTATAGAAAAAAAAAGTTCTTACCTCGTGAGACTGCAAAGCACTTCGCAGGATAACTCGAATGACTTGCAATGGCTGAGATAAAATAGCAAAGTATGGAGCAACGACTATATTGAATTAGAAACTACAAATTAAACGAGTGAAGTTGACGATTAAATATGACAGGAAATATGCGTTAAATGCTAGAATAAACACAAGAAACGCGACTTCAAGAGAGTAAAGGGGATGCTGGAAAAACACGTTTGCTCTCATGACACGAGCCCAACTCAAAAGCAGACGCAACGTAGAGTCAATGACTATTTAAAACATTTTAAATATAATGTGCACACGTCGTGATGTATTAGTGATTAACTCTTTTGGAGTCGTACATTTTAATGGTAAGGATAATTACAAAATTGCGTCTACCTTTAATGCCTTCAACGATATTGCTATGAGCCTGTTTATGTTGGCGTATGCGTAAGTATTCATTGTAACACAAATCCTCCTGTAAAACAGGGCATACAGTCAGCTGGTGATATTAATAATTTACATAAAATATCCATGTTGTGGAGAATATTGGTCACAAAAAAGCAGATAATAGGTCTCCATCATGCACCTGCATCTGTATAAATTATGAGAACAAATGTACATATTCCTTCAGCCCCACTAAGTGGGAATGCATATTTACAAAAGTATGATTCCGCAGTCTTCTGGGAGGGCATCATTTTGTCAGCATTGATTCAGTAGAGGCAACAATAGACTGGTTTATGTATCATAAATTGGCGTTCAACTTGGATCCATATCATAGCAGCTCACCTGCATTGATTCAAGCAAGCCTGACTCTGCATGTCAAAACCGCTCAAGAGTTTTCATGTACTGAATGAATACAGGCAGACCTAACTTAGCACGACGCCGTAGAACACTCATTTATTATAGCATTCATGGGCCTGGAGAACATTTTTCCAAAAATATAAAATCAGAACATATGTATCTATATATTAACGGCTAAGGATGACTCAATAACTCAGCTGGCTTCCAAAGACCGGTTCCTAGATCGTCTGCTTTGGCTCATAAGACGGTGTTTGAGCTCTGAAGACTATGGAGGAAATATCCACGATGTATTTTGTGAATAGTGACATTTAAACAATATTCGTGTCGCCTTCTTCAGTGTAAAATTTCAACGGTTTGAATAATTTCAGATTTTATTTTTTATAAAAGGTTTAATTTTACAACTGTTACATACCTCATCAAAATACCAGGAAGCCATAATCTATGATGTATATTTTTGAATAGTTAAACGTAATTATTATCTTTAATATACATAGCTAGACGGCTCCGGCAACGATGCTCTTTTAAATATATATAGATGAGATGGTCGGGCCCTCATAACGTGATAGTTATGGATCGAAGTAGTCGACACTATTACAGACAGCGGAGTGAAGATGAAACATCAGAAGAAAGAAACCTATGATTAAACACGGATCGAAATCTACATGCACAAAAAAAGAGCAAACGAAACGGCAGAAGAAAAAGCCGACGATTAAACTCAGATAGAGAGAGAAAGGAAGCCAAAAGGAGAATATTAAATAGTCAAGTGCCCGAATGCCAACAACCAAGAAATATGCGTAGAAGTGGATGAACGTAATATTGTTAATACAACAATTGATTGAAAATTTTGTAAAGCAAAATATTGGTCCGTTGAACTAAATGCATCAATGAAATAGACAAAGTGCTGTCGTGATGGGAACGTTTTTGTCTGGCACCTTTAACAGAAGCACATGCACTATTAAAAAAGGCTATTGACAGAAGTAACACCAGAAGCACGAAATTACTGAGATCATATCAGAGACTGAAATTCTGCTGGAGCTTTTGCATCGATGGGAGCTGAAATGAAAAATTAATAGAAAATAATAAAAATTATATGAAGATTTGAAAAATGCGTAAGTATTTGGAATTATGATAATTTGTTTTATTATGTGCATACAATATTCTAATTATGGAGATAATCTTATCACTGTATGCGAATGTGTGTGATTATGCTAATGTGGGCTGTTATGATAATTAGGCTTAGCTTCGTTGTCTCGGGTCGTATTATCAATCGGGATGATACCATAAGTTGTATGAAGTTATCCAAGTGTTATGTAATTATGCAAAATTAAGCTCGGCTTCGTTGTATAGGGTTCTATTATCAATCGGGATAATACAATTATTCTCGTTTTAACATTCACTGATTATGTCTTAGAGTGTTTATGTCAGGTCTTCGAATTCAAATCTCAACGCAAGATACAGTTTTTATAAATAAGATTATTATGCATGAACTCAGGAAGAAACCACTCAGACTCTTTAAGCAATTTTAATTCTAAACAAAAACATAACAGTCTAATATTCGAACTCTCATGCTTGGAATTATCCACAGTACCACCGGCGAAGTTCCCCTCACTGATCCGTACCTTTAACCATCAATGATTACGTTGTTAAACTGGGCAACCGAACAATTGACTAATTCCACCGAGTAACGCGAGCATATACGGCAATAGGGAAAAGTCCTGAACTTGCATGCGACGATATTCATACGAAAGGCAATAAAAAGATTATCAGTATATCCCGAAGGCAAAAGTATACATCAATAGATTCATCGGGAAGATCATATAATTAACTAAATGTCTTGGGGCAATGGTGTGCGGCAGTGTAGGTCTGTTTACGCCAGATGCTTATTTTGAGCGAACGCTTCAATTAATTCGTGGGCAAGATTCGGTGTTCAAAAGAATGGTTTAACACAATATTCTCCCGGTGAGCGTGTAGATTCGTAAAAAAATGTTTCGAACGTTTAGTTTACATCGATTAATCTATTGGTAATTTTGATACAATTAAAAAGAAAAATAACGGCTAATTTACTTATAAACGACCGTATTCATATCACTCGATGAACACCAATGTCTTCACGATCAGCTAATGGTTCATGCACACTTATAATGAGTCTTTTATTATTGGCTCAGGTTTGGTTCATGTGTGTGTGTGGATTGTCCCTTGATAAATTATTTGTATTAAGCAGACGCCGGACGCTGCATCGTGAGCTTGTGAGGGTGGGGGAGGGGCATAGAAACAGTTGGTTGCTCTCTCTCGCTCTCTCGCCCGGGCTGGTTTGCTGTTAGCTGCCGGCTCTCTCCGCTGCTGGATGAGCTGCATCGGCATAGCGTGTAACAGCTCGTCCGCTGGGCCGCCGTTCCTCACTCTTGCTCATTCTCTTTGAGGCAGCAGCAGCGATGTTGCTTGTCCGCTGCTGGATGTCTTGGTTCCCAGCTAGAGCTGGTCAGTGTGTGTGGTCGAACACACGGCGCTCTCGCTGGCGCTGACACTCTTGCTCATGGGCGGCTGGTCGGGCTCTTTCCACTGCTCCGTGCTCTCTCCTTGATCGTGCAGCTGCCAGCTTCACACGGACACCCACCCTTACTTCAGGACTGCGCTGACTCAAGCTCTTTCTACTGCTCCATGCTCTTTGGCGATGCACGATTGCTTTTGCAGCGTGTCCTCTGTTGCTGGTCCTGTGCGATGCTCGCTTGGTCGATGCTTGGCGCTTTTTGGCCTTTCTCCCAGTTGATTGCTCGTCGTTGCTCGTCCGTTCAACTCCAGCTGCAGCTGCTGGCATTCACTCTCAAAACTTGTAATTGTATTCGCACACCTCTTAGACGACTGTGAAAGCTTAGTGCAATCCAACTTATCGCAATCCTTGACTTTGCGAGCGACTCAACACATCAGGATGAATGTAGAATAAAACTTTCAGCGATACTCTGTCGGCTCATGCCGAACTCAGCTTTTAATCAAGACATCGTCCCTTCTCTCTGCGAGACACGACACCCATGGCTGATCTCAAGGCCATGCCCCGGAGCCTGCCCCTCGCAAGACTCCCTCACAAGCCTCCATCGCCAGACTGCCTCGCAAGACTGCCTGGCAAGACTGAACTATTTGTGAATCATGTTCGTGCTTAAAAATGTGCAATTCCCTCCCCTCTTTGCGCGTCCCCCGCGAGAGAAAACAAAAACAAATACCCTCCTTCACCGTCCTCTCTCCGTGGCCGCCCTGACTCCCCCCCTCCCCTCTTCCCTTGATGACCCCAGACGGGCTGTTTTAGCGTCAAAGTTTATGCTTGTTTGCATTTCCCCCCCTTTCTTCGTAGTGTTTGTTATCTCGAGGCCAGACACCCTTCGTACGTATTTATGGCTGCCATGTGTTTGTGTCAAATTGTTGGAAGACAAATGTGGCCGGGGAGGCTTTGATTCCATGGAATACATTTATCTGGTCTTGTGTGTGTTGGACCTATTTCTTGTATCTCTTATGAATTACCCCTGGTCTAATATATCGGGGTTATTATTTGGTTAATGTTTAATCAATATTCGTAATGCCCCTCGTTACATCATTATTTCGAGGGTTTGCCAAGCTTTGTTATAAGTTTGTGTCTCCAGGGATCGGTGTTTTATTTTGAGTTATATTTTGATGTTTGGAGGGATAGCTTAGTTTGGACTTACGTTTTCGCGATGGCAGGGGCTCATGTATTTTGGTTAATTCGGTGAAGTTACATGGATAGAAAGATACCATACAAAATAATGTATGAGTTGAATGAGGGTGAAATAAAATAAGTAACAATGATGAAACCACTGATATAGACTGCAGTCTATCACGTTGATTTGTTCTTTTGCTGAGTTTCAAACTTTTACCGTTAAAGAAAATGCGAATTGTAACGTCCGTTTGTCTCTGCTATGTGTGTGTGTTTTTTCTGGCTCTGTTTGTGTGGGGAGGTCATGTGGTGGCCCTTTGACAATCTGGAGATTTTGCAGA